AGGGTCCAGGGTTCAGGGTTTAGGAATGCTACACTCTCCGGCATAACGGGCTTCAGGAGGCCAGCAAGGTCGTCAGGGCTTACGTGATTTCAGGGATAACAGGTCAAGACAGACAGGCAGACGGACAGGCAGACAGACAGAAGGCAGACAGACAGAAGGCGGACAGACGGACAGACAGGAAGGACAAACACGACAGGAACGACAGTCAGCCAGCCAGCCAGCCAGACAGACAAACAAACAAACAAACAAACAAACAAACAGACAAAACCACACTATCAAAACAAACAAACAGACAAAAGCAAACTAACAAACACACACATAACCAACACACACAAATAAACACACAGTCAAAACAAATAAACACGTCAGCAAGCAAGCAGGCAAACAAACAAGCAACCAAGCAAACAGCCAGACAAACAAGCAGACAAGCAATCAAACAAGCAAACACACAAGCAGACAAGCAACACACAAACACACCACACCAACAAGCAAACACACAAACAAGCAAGCAAACAAACAAACAAACAAGCAAACAACCAAGCAAGCACACAAACAAACAAACAAGCAAACCACCAATCAACACTCAAAGAAACAAACACACAAAGAAACAACCAAACCAAGCAAACAAGCAAACACGCAAACAAACAAACCAGCAAACAAGCAAACAACCAAAAGCACAAACAATCACACAAACAAACAAGCAAGCAAACACATGCCGACACATGTTTTGGACAAACGACCTGTCTCAAGTTTTCGGCCCAATGTCCCGGGCTTTGGTGGCGACAGGAGCCACGTCGTCTTTGTCTCTCCTGTTCCAGGTGGTCCGGTTCTTGTCTTCTCCTCCCGCTCCGCTCGTCCCCCCGTCTGCTGAGCCGCTGGAGACTCTCTGCAACGCCTTGGCCCCAGATAACATCGTCAGCTCAGCGATCGATTGGCAATCTTTTCTGCTGGGACTTCTGGTGGGTTTCTTATTGATTCCATTCAGTGAAGCTGTGATTTCTGCCAGACTGCTTGCTTATAGAGCCGTGCTCAGACGTTTCGGCTACTCGGAGCGGCAGCCTCTTTACCGACTTTTGTGAGGGGTCGGTGCATGAGCTCGGGTGCGGCTTCTCGGGAGATTGAGAGCTTGAGGGCAACCGTTCTTGAGCTGCAAGCTAGGATCATACGGCTGGAGCATCGTGTCGCGGAGCTTGAGGGCGACGAGGCTGAGTTCGCAGTTGTGGACCTTCCTGCTGGGTCAACGGAGGCAAGCAGACCCCTTGCTAGCCCTTCGCGGGCTTCTGGGTCCTCTTCGGGGCCTCTGGAGGGAGACGAGAGAGCGAGAATCTGCCAGGAGGTCGGCTTGTTTTTGAGGAGGTGCTTGAACGGAGAGCCCCGCGGGACTTCGTCGAGGGACAGGCTGCAGCTTGCTTCGAGGTTCTGGGTGGTGGTCAGGGATTTCCAAGGGCGAGTGCATTCGCCCCCGGCTTTGTTTAGCCGCTTCTCCGACTGCAGGCCCTTCGTGAAGCAGGGGTCTGACTGTGGTGACTCCATCTTCGTCGGCCTTCCGACCAAGGGTGACATCAAGAAGGCGTTGCTGGCTGGCGGCTTTGCCTTGCCCTCTGAGTTGAACTGATGGCCGAGCTGGCCGGGTCAGGCGACGGGTTAGACGGTAGCTCCCTCTTCGTGTACGACGGTGAGGCCTCGGACGCCGACTACGTGGTGGGCACCCTCAAGGTGAAGACCGAAGAGGAGGAGGCCGACACTGCGATCGAGGTGATCTTCGTGTGTGACATCGACGGCAAGTGCCTTGCTGCAGTGCCCCAGGCAGCATGGAACAGGAAGGCTCAAAATCGAAAGTTGCCCCCGGGGGCACTGGGCAAGGCCACAGCTGTGGAAGTGGCCGCGGCCGCCTTGGAGTCTCGGGGTGTCGTGGCGAACGGTGTCCGGATGAAGATCTGGCTGGGCTTCCTCGACCCTGGTCTCGAGGCGCTAGTCTCGTTCGAGGGGGAAGCCGGCGCGGTGGACGTGGCCTTTGCAGCGGTGGGAGGAGGATCTGGTTATCTTCCTCATTCCGATGCCCTGGTGGAGGTGGCGAAAGACAAGTTCCAGTTCCACACGGCCTCGGAACACCCTCAGCAGGACGAGCCCGTGAAGCACAGCTTGGAGGCGCGGATGGCAAAGATGGAGGAGGCAGTGGTCGCGATGTCCACTTCGATCAAGGCGTTGGCGGCTGCTCCCCCTGCGGTGGCTGCACCGGCCAAGGCCGAGCGGACAAGGATGTCGGAGACAAGCAGGCCAGCAGCTGCTGCTCCAGACGGTTCTGGGTTGGATCCTGGGGTCGTGCGCTCGGCTGTGGCAGCGGGTCTGGATCCGGAGTCCATTCAGGACATGGCGAGGCTTATCGGGGGAAATCAGGCGAGGTTGCTGCGCGACAAGCCGGTCAAGGCCGCAAAGCCGAAAACCGTGTTGGAGGAATCCGAGGACGACGAGGTCGAGGACGAGCCGCGTGGAGCGGGCACGGGCGAGATCGCCCTGCCAGTGGAGACGAGCGATCCAGTGGCCACCGCGGTGTTGAAGTTGACAGCCCTTGTGGAAGACCTGCACCAGCAGAAGAGCAAGCGCGGCTCAAAGTTGGAGCAGGCTTTGGACTCAGCCGGAGGGTCGGGCTCCACATCGGAAGGCGCCGGTGTTGGATCTCGAAAAAATTCTTTGGCAAGGCGGGCGCTTCGGGCAGCACTCCACGAATCGCCGGAGGAGATCTACAGCGTGGTGGAGCGGCTGATGCTCGAAGACTTGACTTCAAGAACGCTCGTGCCCGGGATGCCCAGGCCAGAGCTTTCGGCTCGGGCTTGGCTGGAGAGTCGTTCGAGGTTGCAGAATTTTCCAGCTGCGGTGAGGCATGCTTGGGGCACGGCCGGGATTTTGGACGCCCTGATTGCCAACCGCCCCAAGGAGGCGCGAGCACGTGCATGCCTGATGATTCTGCAAGCAGACCAAGTCGCGGTGGACCGCGGCGGCTGGGCCTTAGCGGCGGAGGCATCACTGGAGCTGCCTCCACCGTTTCATCAGTTCGCTGCCCACATCACGCCAGACCCCACGGAACAGCCGATGTCGAGGCTCATGGACCCGAGATGGGGAGAGATCTTTCTTCAGCACATCAAGGAGACCGACGATTACATCGACCGCCGACGCAAGCATGGCAGCAGACAGAGCGGTCACGGCAACGAGGGCCAGGGCGAGGATGCGCCAGGCCCCAAGCCGAAGGCAAAGCCGAAAGCCTAGGGCCCCAGGCCCCCTGCATGCAGTATGAGCCTGGCTGCCCTGATGGTGATTTTCAAGGCGATGGGCCCCCGGGCGTGAAAGTCCCTGGAGCTGGTGCGCCTACCATTCGTGTGGCGGCTTTGGTGAACTCATTGCCAAGGAAGGTGCTGGATAGTTCGTGCTCCTTCTCTTCGTTTTTCGCAGGCCTGTGCCGCAAGCCTCAGAAGAATGCTGAGGTGACGTCTTCATTCTGGCCCATGCCGCTCCCGTATCCAGAAGTGATCCAGTCCGGGAGTGGAGGTGGCGGTTGTTGGTCTAAGAGGTTGGTCAACTTAGCCGTTGCGGTGATGAATTGGCTTCATCTCGGCAGGCCCCGCTGTGCTCCCTCGGGCTTGGAGGCTGGAGTTCCACTGTCGAAGAGGCAGTGGGGTATGGTGCAGCTTTTGGCTGGTCTAGTTGGAGACGGTGATTTTTCCTTTGTGCTGGAGCCCGCCGATCTGGGCCGAACGGCTGCCAAGCTTGAGGACCAAGACGCGATCCTGGGTGCTATCCATCGGGCTGTTCTCTCCTTGGAGGTGGGAGCGCCTGCTTACCTGGGTCCGAGGTGCTCATTTGGGGGCTCAACCGCGGATCATTTTGAGGACCGTGGGTGCGCTGGCCCCCCTTTTCCTACGGCTAAGCCTTTCGGCTGGATGTGCGGCAAGCTCCGGGGCAAAAAGCTTACCAATGCAAAAGCCATTCAAGCAGATCGCATCAGCATGCCTCCTGCCCCTTCGTTTGACCCCGTGCCCTTCCTTGACCCGAAGACGGCAGATGTTTACCAGTGCCCGCTCGCTCACCGTTTGCAGCAACCTCGGGAGCCACCGCCTCTCAGGTCAGTGGTCATGGCCAGCCGCTTCGAGAAGCTCGAGCTCTTCAAGAAGCTTGCACGTTCAGGACGGCTCGGCATCCTTAGCACCATTGAGGTCTCGAGTGGCATCACTAGTGGGATGTTTTGCGTGACGAAGGACATGGATCGTGATCGCCTCATTCTTGATGGGCGAGGCGCGAATGTCTATGAGATCCCCCTTAATCATTGGACGAAGCAGCTCGCTTCAGCAGAGAAGGTGGCGGGCATCTACTTGGCCCCCGGCTTCTCTCTGCTGGCTTCCGGTCGCGACCTCAAGGACTTTTTTTTACCAGTTCAAGGTTACTAGGGAGCGCACCATCAGGAACGCACTTTCTGGAGCCCTGGATTATGATGAGCTGCGCTATGTTTTTGGTGACGTGCCTGACTTACCTCGTAGAGCTTTCGTCGGGTTATCCACCATGGCTATGGGCGACTGTTCCGCATGCGAATATGCCCAGTGCTCGCATCTAAGCGTACTTCGAGGCCATCACGTCTTCGCGGAGGGCGAGCTGAACACCCTCACGAGTCCAGTTCCTAGAGGGGGGTTGCACATCGGAGTGATCATTGATGACCTCATCGCTTTGGAGAGGATAGCTTCGTCGTGGGTGGAATCACCCGAGCCTCGGCCACAGACTCGAGGCGACGTGGTGATGAGCAGAGCTGATGATGCCTATTCAGGTGCCTCTTTGATGACGAACCCCTCGAAAGCTTTTCAGAACCAGACCAAGGCAAAATTCTGGGGCATCGAGTTGGACGGGATTCGTGGTGTGATCAGGCCGGCTACGTCGAGATTGTGGCCGCTGGTTGCCATCACGATGCGCGTCATCGCCTTGGGGTTGTGCACGGTGGGTTTGCTGAAAGCTTTGAGCGGGTCTTGGACATCAGTTTGTCTGCTTCGGAGGCGTCTTCTCTCTATCATGGACCTTATATTCGCAGCTGGGGCCGGTGACGAGCTCGATCGAGTAGTTCGCCTGTCCCCTGAACTCAAGGCCGAGCTGTGGTGTCTTGTTAGCCTAGGTGCTTTCGCTGCAGTGGACTTGCGAGCTGCGCCGGCGGACTTCGTTACAGCTACTGATGCTTCAAGCTGGGGAGGCGCAGCAGTCCGAGCACAGCTTGACAGCAATTTGGTACTTGAGTTTTCACGGCACGCTCTGGCGAAGGGGTCGTGGACACGCCTTCTTCCACCTGGGAAGGCTTGGCTTCGAGAGCATGCGGCATTGGAGCCGAGTGAAGAACTTCCTGATGATGAACAGTTTGAGCCCAACGCTCTTGCTAACGTCCTAGCTTCTAGCTTGCAGTACCAGGAGAGATGGAGAAGGCAGTTCAAGAGTTCGGAGCACATCAATTGCAAGGAGTTGCGAGCCTATCTTCTTGAAGAGAGCCGAATCGCCAGGAACAAAGGTTCTTTACGAACGTTGGCTGGCCTTGACTCTCAGGTTGCACTTGGATGCTTGGTGAAGGGGAGAAGTTCGTCGGAAGGACTGAATCGGCTGTTGCGATCCTCCTTGGGGTCGTATCTGGGAGGAGGCATCTATCCACATTTCATGTTCTTTGAGACTTCTCGAAATCCTGCCGATGGGCCCACTCGAGGCAAGCTGCCTCCCGAGCCCACCATCAGCCCGCCTGAGTGGTGGGAGGACGCCAAGGCGGGCCTCTTCGTTGGCTTTGATAGCTGGCTCCTTTCGCAACCGGGGTTACCAAAGGCTCCTGATTTCTCGCACCTTTGTGGCAATCGGGGTCCCGCTGAGGATTTGGCACCTGGGTTCAAGGTCAACTGTGAGTCGCAAGGAGCTCGCAGGAGGTCTCAGCGCCACAGGCGCTCTCGCGAGAGTGTTGAATGCGCGCCCCCACCGCCAGGACTGCTTGATGGAGCGCCACTTGGTTTTCCACTGCGGCAGTTCTTGTTGCCCTCGTCGGCGCCTGACTTCGGGGCGCCAGGCTGTTTGGACCTGTTTAGTGGCTCGGGTGGCCTGGCCAGAGCCCTCGTTCGGTGCGGGGCGCCCTGGGTGTTAACTTTTGACACGAAGCACGGCCCAGAGCAGGACGTTTTGCAAGAGCCTCTCAGGAGCAAAATCTTTGGTGCAGTCAGAGGTGGATTGTTCAGGATCGTATCTATGGCCCCACCGGTTGGGACGCTTTCGACTTCAGTGAGCCCTCGGTGTCGATCTCGCACCCGACCTTTAGGCCACCTCTGGCTCCGCGGTGCCACTGCCTCCAAGGTTGCAGCTGAAAATGAGCTTGCAAGATTTTGCGTGGATATGATCAGTGCTTGTGTTGCTGCGGGGCTTGGTTGGAGCCTTGAGCACCCTGACTCGTCTTTTCTTTGGAGGCTGCCGGGGTTCGAGGCCTATGCCAACCCTCTTTCAACTGAGATCTGGAGAGGAGACATGTGCACTTTCGGGACCCCTTGGAGGAAGAGGACCCGTTTGGCAACTTCGCTGGAGCTTCGAGGCGGGCGACGATTCTGCCGATGCCGTCACCCGCATGTGCTACTGCGGGGCCGAGTGCCCGGTCGTCCGGATGTGTCGCGGGCCTCGGTCGCAAAGCCTTACCCTAGAGGTTTTGCCCAAGCGGTCGCCTTTTCAGCTTGCAGAAGTGGCGGATGGTGCGATCCCAAAGGCAAGTTGGAGCTGTCAGACTGCGCACGGTGTGGGAGCAGGCGGATTGGGGAAGCCAAGAACCCTGGACCAAGGCGCGGCCCGCGGGCTCGCGTCGGCGACCTTGAGTCGCGACCGCTGCAAACGGCGGCGACTTTGCGATACGAAGATCGCCTCTGGGAGGACTTTGTGACGTGGAGCTCGTCTTGTCTGTCGGACCCCTGTCTTGTCTTCTCTCTTGTCCCCGCTTTCTGCGCCATGGCCCTTCGTGCGTACTCGAATGACTGCTTTGGCCGAGGAAAGACCCTTAGTTCTTTTCGGCACACGATCATTGCTGCACAAAAGAGGATCTTGGGAGTCAAGCCATTTTTATCTATGGCTTGGGAGATGGTATCAAGATGGGAAGCGTTGGAACCTCCCGTGCATCGCTGCCCAATTCCGGAGCCTCTGGTGAAATCCATGGTGTTTCTTGCTTGGGCTTGGAAGATGGAAAGATGGGGGGCCATCACCTTGTTGGCCTTCTATGGGTTGGCGAGAATCGGTGAGGTGCTAAAGTGTCGGCGCCGTGACCTGCTTTTACCTGGTGACCTGCTCGACGACGACTCACGCTGCATTTTTCTTAATCTTCGCGAGTCCAAGACCTCCACTCGCGGCCGACCTAAGGTGCAGCACACGCGTGTCAGCGATGCGCGTGCAGTGGAGCTCATCGAGCGGGCCTTTGTAAACCTTGACGCCGAGGATCTGCTCTGGCCCTCTTCGCCATCTACATACCGTTACCGCTGGGATTTTCTACTGCGGCAGCTGGATGTGCCGCGAGGCCTGGCCTTAACGCCTGGAGGACTGCGCGGCGGCGGCGCGGTCCAGCGGTACAGGCTGGGAGTGACGCCTGGTGAGCTTCAATGGGCCATGCGGCTAAAGCACATTTCCACCCTTGAACATTATCTGCAGGAACTGGCAGCCGTAACGGCCCTGACCGAGGTCTCCGATCATGGTCGCTCGCGAATCAAGACAGCTGCCAGATTGTACGACATGGCGTAAGATTGCATTGTTGGTAGCTTTTTTACTGTTGCTACGTGCCGGGACAATGGGCTGGAACTCTGTTCCTTTTTCTGCTGCTCGTCAGTTGCCTTCTGCACCTGGCTGGCCCCGCCGTGGGTGGACAAGGAAGCTCCTCTTGCTGGTGCGACGCTTTTTCAATCCTTTCCGGCTCCTAGCTTCGGACACTCCTTTACAGCAGCGGCGGCCACGAAAAAGTTCCGTGGCGCTTCAGGAGGGTAAGTCCCTAACATGCCGACACATGTTTTGGACAAACGACCTGTCTCAAGTTTTCCCTCCCGCCCGCCCGTCGGCAGAGCCGGCTGCGGACAAGGAAGCTCCTCTTGCTGGTGCGACGCTTTTTCAAAGCTTTCCGGCTCCTAGCTTCGGACACTCCTTTACAGCAGCGGCGGCCACGAAAAAGTTCCGTGGCGCTTCAGGAGGGTAAGTCCCTAACATGAACATTTTGACTGTGATGCTTTACGTAATCAGAGCTACAGTGAGCATAACCCGGCAGTTGCCTGGCCATGTCACAACGGATAAACACTACGATCATGGAAAGTTACCCTGTGGCCGATTGATGTGGAGATCGAATCGCCACTTCCGGGCTGAACGCTGCATAAACAGATCTTGCAGGCGAGCGCATGGGTCCGGATCACACACACACACATGACGCAAATGCTAAGACATGCCTTTGGTAGGGCGACTGTAGCCCAAGACGTACAGACTTCTGCAGTTGACAACGAAACCTCCTGGGAGTAGATCAATCTTTGCACGTTTCCTGAACCATTTGAGAGCAGCGTGAAAAGCGCGCAGACCCTCAGCAAACGTGAATGCCTCGAGCGGCAAATCTTGTGTGCATCCGTCCCTCATCACACAAGCAGGTCGCTTGCCATCTCGGAACCGGTTGACATTCACAGGAGTGCGCGTTCCCGTGGTAAAGATGAAAATTACGAGAAGTTCGGTCATTGATATATACGCATGCAAATGGCTCTTGCCCTGTTGACATGGGCCGACGGCAAACAAACAAACCAACGAACAAACAAACACTTACAAACACAAACAAACAAAAAACAATTTAAAAACAAACACACACACACAAACACACAAACACACAAACACACAAACACACAAACACGCAAACACAAACACAAAAACAAACAAACAAACAAACAAGCAAACACACACACACAGAGAGAGAGAGAGAGAGCTTTTGCGAAGACCTGAAACCAACAGGGCGCGTTCGCGCGCGAGGGTAGGTACGGACGTGCCTGCCTTCTGGCTGAGTGGAA